TTTAGACAGAAAAAGATGTACTAGCATGTCGTTATGCAGTCCAAGTCTACCATACTTCATTATGAATCTGCTAACAAAATTGTCGAAGTTCCTTCCTTGGGGATCTCCATAGACCTCAACCTCTGGAAGGGCCATTGCTGCCAACACCTCCGCAATATCTGCCTGTGCGACCTCACCCTCGGTCGACGGGATTGTATGCGGAACCCTTTTCTGACACCCCGGTATTTTCTGCATGGTGTCCATCGGCTTCTTCGATGAAAACAATTCAAGCTCGATATCTGTACGAGATAGAGCTTTATCTATCCAATGTTCCGTGCTTCACCTGCAGCACAAATTCAGTTTCGATGATGTATCAGCTCACGGTACACACGCGTATACCCCGCCTCCCTCTAGGCTGGGTCTTGCGGTGTAGCTGATACAAGCCACAAAGTATACCCCTTGACCAAGAGGGACCTGTCAGTATACGGTACACGCGCCGCTGCTCCCTTGTAGAAGTAGACCACGGCGGTGTAACTGACACCCTCCTCCGGTCCTCTGAGAAGGCTCGATGTGCCACACAACGAGCTCCTCTTGAATCGGGGATATACACTGCCTCTGATATAGGCAGGATACTCGCCTTTTCCGCTTACGCGGTCTTATCGGCGGGGTTGGGTTGGTTCGGTTCGGCCCCCATGTCACGCACTAACCGGGTTCGTTAGTGCGAGGGCGGATGTCTAGGTGGGGAACGAGAGAGTAATAGAAAAATTTATTAGAAGAATAGAAATAGCAGACAATAACAATGACTAAAACAACGGCCGGGCGGCCTTATTTATAGCCGCCACGGTACAAAGTACATGGTCAAGATCAAATTCAATAATCATTGCCTATAGGTGCCACCGCGTCCATCCTTGACAAATATTAGGTTGTTGCAAAAATAATGTCCGTTTTGCAAATTTTCACTTTGGAAGGCTATAACTTCGTTCAGTCTCCATATTTTTATATGCATTCAAGACCATCAGAAACATCAAACATTACTTAACTTAGCGCGCTCCTGCCCATGCTGATATCGCGAACGGGAAGAAAACCATGCGTCAGAAAACTGAAAGTTTTTCTCTTGAAAACCTCGTCTTTAAGAGCTTACAACTCCCTTCAAGCTTTGTCCCTATGTCTGCTAATCAGCTTATTTTGTAGCCGCAGGCCAATGGTATAGGTGAGTATAGAAAAAACTCCAACTAAGGAGTTCTGCGAAAAGAAAAGATAAAATTTCAAAAATGTTCACTCTTTTGAGCCTATTTGTTGTAGGCTTGTAAGTGCCTAACTATGAAAATTTGGAATTCTTCGCGCACTGAATAGCTAAGTTTTTCTTCAAAAAATGTAGTTAAGGTGTGCTAATTTCAAGCTTACAGAAATGGGCGAAGCTTTGGCGATTGCCTTAATTATGAGAAATTTCTGACCCATAGAATGCCAGCAGCGAGTGTCTACTTTGACGCGTCAGTTTCTCAGTCCACATTTCTCCAAAAATCTACATAAGCATGCAGTAGGTAAACAATCTTCATTCAATACACTTGCTATGTTTTCAGAAGAATTCGTTGATTTGCTCCTGAATTGTGGTCAAGAAAGTGGAAGCTATGAGATTCTGATTTTGAGTGCGGATGTGAAAAATGCTGGTGAAATTCTCATAGATGAGGATAACAGCTTAATTTCACAACTATTAGAAAGTACATGAAGAGAGCTTTCCAATGATATGCAGATGCCATATCGAAAAAGAAAGTCTGTTGGGAAAAAAGTTGTTTGGATTATAGGTCTAAAAAAACGGACATTATTTTTGCAACAACCTAATATAATATTATCTTTCTTGGTTGTCTTGCTTTTTGCTTTGTATTACTCTATAACAACGTGACATCTTTATCTTCTAATAAGTGTTAAATATTGATACCAAGGAATCTGTGGAAGACTTCAAGGTGGAAAATACACAGTTATGAAATCCCACCATTCTCTAACATCTCTTTTCCTTCTCTCACATTGTCCAAGCAATGCGGTATGGCTCAACTCATCCGATTCTTATAATGTGTTTTGATAACATATCTGGGTTTCCACAATTAAATCTGACTAGTGCAACCATTATTCTTGGACCCACAACATTTTTGTTAGAGCTGAAAACCTTCTGGTGCTTATTTGTTGTTTCGGAATAACAAGCAAAAACGTGTGAGGTTCTTTCCCAATTCATTAGTTTTTTCCTTATACGCAATAAAAGATTTTTTGCTTGTTTAAGATTTGAGCAAATGAGATCATCTCTTGAAGTTTGTATCTGAGTCAAGACGAAGTGTTCAAATCGGTTGTAGATCTTGCCTGCAACTTTCTCAGCAATAATTTTCTGTTACTTTTATAAGTTTACCCTCATGTTGAAGGCAACCCTGCGAATATAGGTGATGGAATAGTACAGAGATAATAATATTGTTCATATGATGTGCAGATTTCTTCTCCTATCTTACCGTTCTGAAAATTGTCGTATGTGGGGCCTATTTTGAAGAACATGTTTGGTTCAGTTTAGCTGCTATCATTTTGAAAAAAAAAAGATACTGGTAAAGTATGTTCAGAAAATTTGGCTCGGCGTTTGCACTTATAGTAAATCACTGAATGATCTGCATAGTTTTTGTAAATCTTGAGCGGGATATGGAAGGCCAAATAAGAGCAGGACATTTGAGGAACTCTTATTGTGAGCAAAATTGTGGTCAACCAAAATCAAATCTGCTCGGTATACTACCTAGGAACTCAATCAAAAATAGCTGCAATTCGGAATCGCAGCCAAAATAACCTTATGTGCATAAGCAAGAAATAATCTTTCTAAAAACGGTTCAGATCACTTCCATCAGCACGAGACCTCTATAAAACCATACCAGGATCTGTTTCTGTGAAAGGGCACATCACAGCACTATTCAACAAATCAAGTGTCCTTTATTGTTTAAGCTTTTACCTGTAAGCTGTGGCAACAACATACCCAAAGGACTTGTTTCTACCCCATCGCAACAACAACATTTGCTGTAACGGTAGAAGATTTCAATGAACTTTTCAACAATGTTAGTAAAACGCTGCTGACGGCTGTTCGCTGAGAGGAATGCAGCTGTGACAATCAGTTCGTTACCGAAATATCTACAATTTGTGGGCATAGCAGCTGTACGATGTAATGTTGGTATTTAAGCCAAAAGTAATAAGTTTTGTCAAAGTGGAGCACACAACAGTAGCTCACTCTGGAAATGTTCTTCGTACTCCTTCCTATTGTTTTTCCTTTTGTGTTTGCCTTCAGTCTTTTACGACGCTTGCCCCTAACTGAACAGAGGCTTAAAAGCACTGTCCAGGTCAACTGAAGGGTAGTAAAATTGAAATTTTGACGAAGTGCGCGAGCACGGCTCCTGACTAATGTAACGCTGTAAGCCCGATAGAAAAAGGTGGATTCTGAAACGAGAAAATCGCTTCGGAAAAAAGGGGCGGTACGCCAATCCCGCCTCATTGACAAGTTTTGACGTGGTTAATACACTAGATCTACGGTATTCCACGTCAAAACTTGTGGAGGCGGGTTTGGCATACCGCCTCTTTTTTCCGAAGCGATTTTCTCGCTTCAGAATCCACCTTTTTCGATCGAGCTTGAATTGTTGCATCAGACACGGACCGTGCTCAAGCACTGGCCAAGATTCTACCATCCTTCAATTGAGCTGGACAATGCCTTTAAGTTGATCCAGTAGTACATAAGCAGCTTTTGTCTTTAAGTAATCTCTCAGTTTTACTCCAAACAAGAAGTGTATCTTGCTATCAACAACTACTGATGGAGAGTGACTAAGCAGATCTTTTACTCTTAACTTTATTTTTACAGAGGCTCTTAATCTGAGTGTCGCAGTCAACGTGGCTCGAGGCCTCGCCAACCACCTCGCTTGGGCCTGGACGCGTCCGCGAAAATGCCTAAGGGCATATTCCCAAGCACGTCGGTCATCGACCAATGACACGGTATCTTTCACGCCTTAAGCTTGGGAAGATACCACACCTGAGGGCGAATGTGGCAAAGACCCACGAGGCGGACCCGAACCGCTCCGACCGTGACACTCAGTTTGAAAGTCCTGTATCCGAGCTTGTCTTTTCTGTTTGCAAGTATGCACGTTGAGAAAGATAATGATAAAATCGAGCTTCTTCAAAATTTGTAGATAGCCGACGGAGAGGGACGAATAAGCACTAAATCCACAAGAATTGAAGTCGTGTAAGACTCTATGACCAAGTGTGCACTGTGTCCACCATGATGCTCGCGCACAAGTGACAGCAAAACTGGCTTAAGAAAACAGTTCGTAAGCAAATCTTCTAAGTAACAGCCATGTCAGCGAGCGAACTCCGACTGATGCTTACAATTATTGAGTGGACGAGCAACTTACTACGAAATTCAAATGTTCTACAGATGCTTTCGAATGCGTTCTTTCACTGCTCACTCTTTTTTGGTCACCAGTGCTCATTATATGCTAACAGCTTCTATATATAAAAACTTTTCTGCTTTCTGCATTCTTGCAGTAGTATCGATAATGGAATGCGAAGAAGTCAAGTATATAAATCGAACTATATTCCATTTATCTGCACCATCACTCCTATACTTTGTATCAACGAGTTGAGTTCCTGAACCACTCCTTGATTCTATATGAGGCGTCAACCACGTACATCAAGATGAATTAGGAGTTTTTAAGCCGCCTGCAATTTGCTACAGAGTTAGAAAGATTTGCTTGAAATTACAAGTTTTGTTTCGCTTGGTTCCCGGCTATGCCGAGGAGTTCGGAAAGTACTACAGGATAGTCAAACAAAAGCTTGCAAAGCTTATTGAAAGTTCGTGAAGCGCATAAACCTTCTTGAGTGATCTGACCGTTGTTGAAATCAATACTGAAATCACTCTAAGATTTCAAATGATCAACGGACTTGCAGAAAAAAGACCAATCTTATTTCCATAGAAAGGAAAAGTTGCCTTATAAAAGAATGCTATATTTCAGAGAGCAATGGTGTATAAACTTTTCCTGATTCTGCTCCTATTGCAAGTGCATGGAGCAACTGGTAAAGGAAGCAGCTGCTTCTGGGATCTTTTTGGCAGGTGCTTTCCCTGCTTAAAAGCAACTGAATGTGAGGATGAAAACTACAAAAAACGTGTAGACTTTGTGAGTTCCATTTTCTGCATAATGATATGTGCCAATGATTATATCGATACTTTTACAGTGCCAGAAGTTTTGCACTTGGGAAATTAGGAAATGGTCGAAATGCATGAAAAAGTGCATTAAAAAACATAGACACTTCAATTTCAATGATGGAGCCACACCCAAACCAATACCGGGTCCACCACGCAAATCTCACTTTTCATATCCTAGAAAATAAGAGCTCTCTGTTGCACACTTTGCTAGGTTAATAAAAATCAACGTCTAAAAGATACTCTCATTTCAGCTTAAGTTTACATCCAATCGCAGTGAAATATGCAGTTGAGTTCAGATTCAGATGCTTTGACTGCCTCTGTAGTTGATTTAGAAGTGGAAACGCCATTGTCATTCATGCAGCCAGAGCAGTAAATAGTTATGTTTGCTGGGGATCTCGTTCTTTTCAAAAATTGATGTATATGGTAGCATTTTCAGGCGTTATGATTATACTACCCTTTGATTCGAAGAGATTGGCGACTGGAAGGTGACCGCTTGCGCCCGCGACGCGGTCTGCGTCTCTCTCGCGAAAGTGCTCACCCTGGTCATTCTTTAGCCTTAATTAGGTCACGGCCCGCCTTCCAGCCGCCAATCTAGTTGAATCAAAGGGTACACTAGCTGACATACCCGGCTCCACCCGCCTTGTCCAAACACTATGATAGAAATTACCATACGATTTTCCTACACAGCACTTCCCTGTCCCGGTCCCATCTCCGTAAGGCAGTACATCGTCCCCTATGTTTTCGTAATCAAGATGGTCCCCAGCTCCGTAGCTCAAACTGTGTAAAAAATCGACAATAAAAGTGATAGACAATTTTGAGAACTGGTATTGCCGTAATCACCATGCTCTCCCCTCCCCTTGTATCTGCTCCAGCCGCGTAGCTCAGACTTGGCAAAACGTTGTAGGAACGATAAAATCAGTATCGATCGATTACGAAGAGTAGATTTTGATACCCGTCCCGCCCCGAAGTGTATGTAGACCAAGTTTGAACGGGATCAATTCAAAAAAAAATCAATTTCGGAACTCACATACAGAAAGACAGATTTGCATATAGATAAACATTCAGCCTTATGTGTATAAGCTCACTACGTGATATTTCTTGTCGCTTGTTTTAGGCCCGTATGCATGTACATCCCCGAGGGGAGGGGAGAGGATCTAAGAGGGGACGCGTCATGTCTCGCTACTCTAAATATCTTTCCTCTTCTTTATCTGGCTTATGAAAGTTTTCGCACCCTATCATTTGCGCATATTAAGTGCTACGTTACTGACGCAAGACTAGATTTTCATTATTTTGCGTGGTCCCGTGTTTTTGTTTTTTTTTGTTTTTTGATCGTGTTTGTACCCCTCCCCCAGAACGGAAATCCTGGGTGTGCCACTGCTTACCGTATACCTACCGTGATCGCTCCAAATGACACCAGCGGTAGACCTACTCGTAATCTGCGTCCCGACTAACCCCACTGTACCAAGTTTGGGCTAATTCCACGGCTTCAACTCACATACCTCAGACCTACCGTAACCTCGTCTGATGTCCTTCACAGTATTAAGTGAATACCAGTGGCGTACCCAGGATTTCGGCTCGGGGGGGGGGGGTAGGGAGGGGGCGACATAAATTTTTTTCTCATGAAGGTGCGTGGCTCAGCTACGCACTCCGAAATTTTTTTGGTATGCTTCCTAAAATTTCCGCGGTTTCAGAACCCCGAAATTTCAGAAAAAGGGGGCTTGGCGTCAGCCACGCCCCCGAAAAATTTTTTTTCAAGGGTTGAAATGAATTTTTAAAAATTTTTAAACATTTCTAAAATTATTTACAAGTGCTTCCGTAGATTTTGTAATTTTCTCTAATCTGCAAAAAGCTCATATATGACCCCATTGTAAAAGGAGAACATCATATTCGCGATCAGCCTCCTTTTCTGACTAAACTCTGAGTTATCTCTGAGTTCCACGATAGATTGGAACGCTCACCACACTCTATGTTACCGCGGAGCTCAGCTCAGCTTAATGGCGCTGTTTCTAGTGCAGAACTATATGAGCAATGTTCCCCTACTAAGATTAAACTACCGGTTACGAGGTATCCTGTCACTTATCGATGTCCAGATTTGGTCTTCCTGCACCTCTGAAGGGGTCGAAAAGTTGCATCTTGGCTTAGAGATAGTTCACACATGACTCAGAATTATAACTGTGAGTTTCGAGGGGTTTACTGCCGACCCAGATCTTTTCATCAAATCTCCGAAAATACACTCCAAAAAACGAATTGAAGTTGGGCATACAATGTGCATTTGGCACCCACACAACAAATTTATAGATGTCCGGCCATTTGCATATGATGGTCATATTTAAGCGTTCCAGGTTGCCCAAAAACTAACCCTGCGCGCAAATACCTGTAAATTCTTACATTTTTGGCTGCAGGGATTCAAAAACAGAAGATCACAATCTCCGCTGGTCACCATGTGGCCAATATCGTGGGTATTGAAGTACCAAATTATTTGTTTGTGCTCACTACAAGTGGGAACAAAACATTAAAAATGTTAATAGAAGGCTAGCCATATGAGAGCATAATGGTCGTTGTAATTACACAAAATCTTGAATTTTTGAGAGTAAAGCCTTAAAAACGACGTCCACCCAAAGTTTCGACTTCCATGTTTTCAAAGTTATGGCCTTTCCATGGCGCTAAATACGGATATGAGGTTCAAATTACCAGAAAGCTCTTTCTTTGCCCCTTTCTGAAGCCCTGTTTGGCAGACGTAGGCGAATGCCCGTGCGCTAGCCACGTCGTTTGCAACAGGAAACCTGTCGTATGCAGCAATCTCAGACAATGGATCGGACCCCTCCGCTGGGCAAGCCGAAACTGCCAGACTCGCGCCGGACCCAATTGACCAATGAGAGCGGGGCAAATGGGCGGTCCCTCGCGTGACATCACTGCCAGGCAAATGGGAGGCTTCTCCGGCCCTGCTGCAAAGGTCCGCCATTTCTCCGGCGCGACCCTGGCAGATTTGCCAGGCTCGCGCCGGACAAATTTGTCCGGCGCGAGCCTGGCAAATCTGGCGGAGTCGCGCCGGAGAAAATGGGAGGGGTCCGGAGCAGAAATGGGAGGCCTCCGGAGCAGAAAATGGGAGGTATCCGGAGCGGAAAATGGGGGGTATCCGGAGCAGAAAATGGGGGGTATCCGGAGCAGAAGATGGGAGGTATCCGCCGGAGAAATGGGAGGTATCCGGAGCAGGCTGCGTATCGATTTGGCGCGTAGCAAGCAAACGTCTAAATCCACGGTGATGAGTCCTCTGTTTACGCTCTTTGTCCATATTTTAGTCGCCGTTTATTTGATTCTGTTGTTTTTGCGCGTTTCTTTACCGTTTTTTCCTTTTCCGCGTTGCTCTTCGTCGCGTTGGCGTTTATGTTGCTGTAAGTTCCTCGTTTTCAGGTTTATGTTTGAAATTTTCGTGCGGTTGCACTCAATCACCTTCAGTGTTTGGCTCTTTCCGACTTGCTGAGACATCGTAGACTATTGATGGAGTGGTTTTTGTGATTAATTCTGGATTTTCGAAACAATGAGGTTAGTTGCGCAACTATCTAGTGTTGTTGTGATGAAAGTATCGTCTAAATAATCCGTTTATTGCTATAGTGTGGACCCCGGCCAGGTTCCCATAGGTACCTCCGCGGCGCGCCCGCAGCGCATGCCTTCAGTGCGCTTTTCGTTTCGGCTCTGAAGGGATTTCTTTCAATTTCCTCTTTCAAGTGTGTTTGTTCTCTTCTGTAATCTCTACTTTAGATGTAAACGACACACGTCAACTGCTGGTGATGGATTTTTACGAGTCTTGACAGTCTTGCAAGCATTTGTTTCGAAAATCTTGTTTTTTTCTCAATAGTGAAGATTTCGGTGTAGTTCAGAGACATCTCTCCAAATGTTCAGAATAAGTGTATATGCAGTTGATTTTGTGGAGTGTAGATGCTTCTAGCCTTTTGTTACACCATCAGAGCTTTGCAATCGTGCTCTTGAGCTCAAACTTTCTGGGTTTTTTTATGAACAGAAGGAAGACTTTTCAGAATTGTTCTTCGACTTTTCCTGTTACTTCTATCATCCATCGCTGGTAGTGTCATACACTACTAGCGATGGATAATAGAAGATTCCAGTTATTTGTGAGATTGACTGGAATCTGAGCGCTAGTAGTAGAAGTTGTGAAGGTTCTCCTATTGCCTTGGCTTTTCTCGTGTTCGGATTAGAGGCCTCCACATCTCATTTCACTCCTGTTTTCGGTTATAATGTTTTTTTGTTCGTAAGTGAAATGAGAAGCGTTCAAGTCGGGCGCGCGTTGCGTGTGCGCCGCGCTAGTACCTGAAGCTGGCCGGGGTCCACACTATCTCTCTCGTACGTATGCTTACCAAGTCGATCGACTTTTCATCAGACGTTGCAGATCCTCACTATATCGTTTCTGGCTTGAAAGATAGGACAAGGCAAGAGATATGTTGACAAAAGTCTTGGAGGCAACTCCAAACGATGTTGAAGTTTTGTGACTGTTACTGAAGCATTGTGACTGTTACTGTTGCTTAGTCACATCACATTGCTTCCAGTATTGCTTAGCGAGATTAGGGACTGATAAGGCTAGGTAAGCATGTAAATGTGAAATGTTTGAGTCACATAGCTTCTTCTTTACTGTTTATGTGACTTTCAATTACAATTTGCAGAATCGCTTTTGAACAAGCGTTGGAATTGCAAAATGACAATGTTTGTGCTCTCTCAGCACTTGCCATTTTGGATTACAATACGCATACTGTCGAGGGAGCCCAAAGTGCAGTGGCTTGTCTAGGCCAAGCGTATAGTCTGGAGCCGGAGAATCCGGTTGTCTTGGTCCATCTTGCCAACCACTTCTTCTTCAAAGGAGTCAGTGCAGAAATTCTTTGAATTAATTACGAATTATCTATAAAAGGGACCTTTTAAATTTGTCCAAGCTGTTACATCGAGGTGTTTATCGCTTTATCTGAAGGCATCACTTTTTCAGGAAATGAACAAGGTTGAACGGTTAGCGTGGCATGCAATGAGTATGACGGAAAGTGACGAAATCAAGGCCGAAGCTTGTTACATTCTTGCGCGGTTTTTCCATTTCAACAGAGACTATGAAAAGGCGTTCAAGGTAAGTTGCATATGCAAGAATTTCAATCCATGTCATCATCGTGTCCTAGTACTATTATCAAGCAAC